TGTCTTAGCCAGAAAGTAGTTAACCAGAGGGAAAACTGCAGATAAAGTCATAAAGCTGAGGGTAACAGGCTATCAACCAGAAAAAATGGGTATTTGTAACCTGAGAGACTTCTCTACATGGAATACTGATTTCAGAAGCTATTACGATTATTTAACCACCACCGCCACCACTCCCACCCCCTGCCCAACCTGCCTGCATGTACACACATGACAAGGACCAGTGTGGCCTGAATGAGTTCTAGGGATCTTCTCCACCATCTCATAGAATAGATGGCTTTGGAAGGCAGTGAGCCCTTTAGGTTAGACGTATACAAGCACAAGAGGCTGTTAGAGACCACACAGGAGTCATGTAGTCAGGGCTTAAACCCAGAGGGGTCACATACCTACAATCCTCCCCATGTGGACACAGGATTGCTCCTTCCCTAGACATACATAAGACATCAGAGGACTGCCACTCACTCCTAAGCATGAGCTTGCAGAAGGGCTTGAGAACAAGAAACCAATAACTCAGACCATCTCTGCAAGGATATTCCTTTGACCTAGGCACATATATTGCAATGCAAGGAAACTGCAATCTTTCAATATGTGTTTAGCACTTACTATAGTCCAGGCACTGTTTTAGGCCAAGGAATATAGCAGTAAGGAATATGACAAAAATTCTTGCCCTAATGGAACTTGCATTTAATGGTAAACATTTTCATACACATATATATTTTTTTAACCTGTGTGGTAAACATTATTAACCTCAAGTTTGCAAACAGAGCATAGATTCAATTAGGTCTTTTTTGTTCCAAGTCCAGCAGTTTTTCCAGACCTAATTTAATCATAGTTAACTCTTAGAAATACAGAATAAAGTTGAGAAGGTGCTGAAGAAAAAAAGAAGAGAACAGACTGATGGGCCGGCAAGTGCAGATTTGGGAAATGTAGGTTTGGACAATGTTGAAGCACTGGACCAACAGACATCCTTCAGAAGTACCAGTGTGTAGTGGATGCCTTGATAAAAGCCCAGAGCAGTCCTTCAGCACTGAAGCATTCATTCCCTCAGCTGCTGGTAGTGCTGGCTGCTAATGGCTCACAGCAGGCCCTCTCCTGGAATTGCTAGGACAGCCCTCATCCACTGACAACAGGCGGTGCCACTTCTTGTCTCAGTCTGGAACTCTGCTGGGCTCTTTCAACGCCATGGCCCCCATGGAGTCCAGAGATCTCCTGCTTTTACTTTGTAGTTCATCTTCTCCCTGGGCCCAAATCCTCCTTCCCTCACAGCTTCCCAGGTATTGCTCTTAAACTACCCTCCAACAGATGTTCTACAGGCTAATCTGTCTCAAGCCTCTTTCTAAGGAACTCAAGCCAGGATGCCTTGCCATCAGGTAACCACAGAAGAGCTATTAAGTTGGAAGGAGCTACAGTGGGAGAACACTGTTCTATCCAGGGAAGTGAGTGAAGTTGTCAGGGCAACTGCAGCAGGAGATGAAGTCAGGACACACTTTGTAATGACTCTTTTACTTCCTCTGCTGTTGTGTTGAGAACAGACTGGCGGGGGGGGGGGCGGTTAGGGCAGAAGTAGGGAGGATTACCAATAAATCAGGAAAGCTATTAATGGTGGTCTGGGTGACAACAGTGGAGGTAGTGAGAAATGACCAGATTTTGGATACTTTGGAAGAGGAATCAGATTGGATGTAGGGAGAGAGAGAAGAGCAAAGAATGAAATGACTCCACGATTTTACACCTGAAGGATGAAATGAAAGAAAATAAAATCCACTGTGAGAAAACAATTTGGAGGTGAAGAGCTAAGTCATTTTAAGTTTGAGATGTCCAGCAGAGTTGGATATGGGAATGTGGAGTTCAGAGGAGAGGTCCAAGGGGGATATAGAAATCCAGGGGTCCTTACAGCAGAGATGTCATTTTTATTTAAGTCACAAACTGGAAAAGTTCACCAAGTGAAGGTAGCTAGAAAAGCAGTCCAAGAACTGAGTCTTGAGGGCACACCCACATCAAGAGGTCAAGGAGATGATTGGTAACCAGCAAAGAATAGCCACTGGGGCAGGAGATCAGGAGTGTGGCCTCCAAGTGAGTCACCAACTCTGCTAAATGCTGCTGGTAAGTAAATGAGAACCGAGCACTGAGCCCCATGAAAGACTGTGCCAACATCCACAGTAGTTCTTCCAGTGGCACATGGATGCAAAGCCCTAGTTAGTGTGGGTTCGAGAGAGAATGTACCCCAAAAGCAGGAGTTAAGAATGTGGCTCCATTATGAACTTTTTAACCCTGGGCTGAGGGTGGAAGAAGGAAAGGAGGTAGGAAAAAGGCTTCCAAGCACCACTACCAGAGCAGCCAGAGAACCTCTTCCAATTCCCCTTCTTCAGCCATCATCCATTTGCACAGGGAAAACAAAAGAACTGAGGAGCACCTGGTCACTCAGCACACTCCTGGTCCTATTCTGAGGGCCATACTCATCAGAGCATCTAACACAGAAGCAGCCTCTTCACACACTTTAAGGTACCCCTAAAGCAGAATAAACCCCAAGAAAACAAAGAGTAGGGTTAAGGATGGGCTGATACCCAATGACTTCTGTGGATTCTTTCCTAAAAAGTCACTGGGTATATTATAGTGCAGCTAAATGACACAGGACACTAGTCCAAGTAACAAACCAAAAAATTTTATGATTCAAAGAAAAAAGTTACATTACATATACTCATTTAAATAAGTCAAAGTCTGTTACATAAAACATAATTATGAAACATTCAAAATTTTATTATTGAAACTACTTAAAAGGCTCAAAGTCAAAAAAGATCAAGCAAAATTGCTCAGGCAATAAAGTGCACTGGGGAACCCGCCTCACCACGCTCTCTCTGCCTTTATCAGTCAGAGTCAGATGAGGGATCTACACTAAAACAACACACAACAAGGTCTGTTCTCAGGATAACTATTTTTCAGATGGGAACTGTTTCCCAACTTACAATCTTTCAGTGGACAAACTGAAAAACAGAAGTCATAAAGAAGGCATTTCTAAATCTAATCAGGAAATGGAAGCATAAAACATTTTTTTCTTTCAATATATTTATCCTTTAGAAACAACACTCTTCAGAGAATGAAGTTCGCTGTGACAATCAACTCAAAGACTATATTTACAACAGAACTAACATTATTTTGTATGTCATAGTTTTTGAAATATGCAAATTTGATGTGATTTAAGTCATTTTTTGTGATTTAAGATATGAGTGGGAGAAAGGATTGGGTTGGTGGGGAAAAACATGATACATATACATTTAATTATGGTTCTCTTGCAACTGTATTATATCTCATGATAAGTAGGAATACTCAACTATGAACATGTCCTAAAACATGAAAACCTCCTAAAAATACAGGCAGCACTCACATACATATGTACCAAATAGCAGTTGATAATAAAGGGGCAACATAATGGGTATCAAATAACATACAATGAATGACCAGGTAAGGTCTGTTTATCAAAGACTAAAAATACCTGAACTTACCTTTATTATCCAATATTTCACCTTACCATCATTTTAATAAAGGTAAAGGCAAAGACAAAATCTAAATACACACTGCACAGTAAAAACATTCCCAGGATAACCAAGTAGTGCAACAATCCATGTATGTTCCTTATATTTATTCTGTTGCCTGAATTTCTAACAATGTTTAACAAAAGTTTCAGTGGCTTACTGGACACAGGAGGACAGTGTTTCTTGTATATCTAGAACAATGTACTCAAAACAGCTTAGACTAGTATCCATGGTCTACTTTCTGGGTACACTGCAAAAAACTCACACTTCTTCTCCTTTCCAATTTATTTTGTTTGACCAACATTTTCCTCCAAACACAATGAATGAAACGACAGTTAGGCAGTGTTACTACCATTTGGCATGACTTCTATTTCCAATTATTTTTAATACTTAGCAAAGGAATCAGAATACTGGAGCTAGACAATTGCAGATGTACTGCACTTCAGATAAACTGTTACTTTGGTGAAAGGTTCATTCAACCAATAAAGATATTTCCTTGTACTCTAAGAAGTTATTCTACCCACAATATACTATGGATAAGGTCACATCAAAATAAGTCAATTTACAATTTACAAAGCAGCTGAATGCTTACATTGTAATTTTGGTGTTTTAGGTACAAACAGGAACTGAGAATGGTTTACTTTCAGCAGCGCAATGGCCCAAAAAGACAAATACTAAACACAGACAATCAAATACAATAGCAGCTCCTTGTTCACTGGGTATATCAGGTATTTTAAGTTATCCTCTGGGGAACACCCTTCATAAGTCACACCATGGACATAGGTGACTTTCTAGTTAACCAAAATTTTAGTTCCTTAGGCTGCAAGCTTAGAAGGAATGGTTACTTGGGATTTCTCTTGAAAATGTTACAAAGAAGCTGATTGCAGAGTTCCTTTTTCCCTTTTCTTTCAGAGGCCCTTTCTAACCAATTCTGATTCTAAAAGCTCTCAGATCAAAAAGGCTTGGTTACAAACTTGTGGTTTGTTTTTGGCTGGATAATATGCCAAGTTTATTAAAAGCAAGGTCATTATAAAACTTTGTTATCAAACATTGAAAAGGAGGTTGTAAAATCATCTACCTAGAAATAGGTGGTTTGAGCATGAACAATATATTTTTTTATAGAAAATAGTATAAAAATTAGTACCCTGTCTCATTTATACAAAACATGAATAGAAAGGTTGTAAAAATCAGATTTTGTAAACTTTACTGCCGAAATATTTGTTTGAATGCTGGTGATTTAGCTTATCAAATTTTCTTCCATTTCCTTAACAAAAAATTCTGAAACTACGAAAGATATTAAACAGGGTCCTAACCAAAACAGGAAAGTTAACAGTTTCATCAGAACCAGCTCCCCACTATCCCTAACCTTCAAAACCATTTCTTTTGGAAAGGAAATTATCAATTCTCTTTTGTGTTACTTCCATTCCTGAATAAAAGCTTTTAATAAATGCCACTGGTGATTCCCTGGCTGACCTTTCAGGCAGAGGCTGGCATGGTCCCTAGTGGGCTCCCAGGTTTTTCTGCTGAGGCAATTCTGTTCAGTTTGCCAACCTCTGCCTGCCAGCCAGGGATCTTCTTAGTAGTCATGTGACGTCGGGCATGCTTTGTTAAGTGGTCACTGCGCATGAAACGCCGATCACACACCGGACACACAAACTTCTTCTCCCCTGTGTGAGTTCTACGGTGGCGAGAAAGTTCATCTGAACGAGCAAACTTTTTATCACAGCCATCCCAGCTGCAATTGAAAGGCTTCTCCCCTAAAAGGTGAGAAAACACATATTGAAGAAAAAGCAATTGCTCAGCACTTCAATGAATGGGTTAATTCATGTATTTAAAAAATTTGTTTCCCCAAAACTCAAGAGAAGGAAATTAATATTCTATTATTCTGGTATCACATTATGCAAAAGTCAAGAAATTCTCCAAACTGTATTTTTTTTTTCCTACTACACCTGAGATGTAGTATGTCAAGGCCCAAAGATGATAAAATAATCTTTCAAAAGAGATTTTTAAATAATAAATGTTATAGCCTGGGGTACAGGTAAGATTCTTGAAAGAAATAATTTCTTCCCTTTTAAGATGAGCTGCAAATTAAAAATATATATATATATTCCTCTCAGGGCCTCAAAAACATTAATTCTATCTTCATATTTCTTACACACTAACAAGGATGTTAGCTAAAAAAAAACAAAACAAAAACAGAAGTCACCTTCTTGTTCCAAGCTTAAAGGCTAAGAGAACAGAACAGAATAAGAAGCTCAGCTATGTCATTCATTAATCCAAGTTTCTGAGCACCTGCAGGTGCCAGGTACTATGCCTTCCTGGAGTCAGAGGTGAGCAAGAAAAAGCCATGCTCTCAGGGAACGCAGGGAAGCAAGCCCTCCCTCCTAACAGAGGCCTTTCCAGCAGCAGGAGCTCCTCTTTTTCTGCATCCTGAAGTCCCAATCTTTACCAGGCTTTTAACAATCACATAAAGCTTGTAAGGTCTCATAAACTGATTTGTTTCAACACTGTTACAGACTATTATGTAACCTACCTTTCCATGGATTTTGTCTAGTTTATCCACCTTGCACAGTTAAGCCTCCAGCACAACACTTGGCTTAGCAAATCATTTATAAATGATTTTGAATGAGTAAGCATTCAAGAGATCTCAACTGAATACTGAGTATTTTTCAGAGGTGAATTAATAGGAAGATCTCGAACATCACAATGGTTTTTCCTGATCATTTCTAAAACCAGAGCCTGAAACTTTCTGGATCACAAACACTCCATACTAAAAATACAAATTTACCCTTCTTTCCCAGGAAAGGAGTTCTGGTGGTGCAATGGTTAGGGTGTTTGACTGCTAACCAACAGGTCAGCAGTTTTGAACCCACCAGTCACTCTGTGGGAGAAAAATGAAGCAGTCTGGATTTATAGCCTTGGAAACCCTACGGGGCAGTTCTACTCTGTCTCACAGGGTCACTAGGTGTCAGAATCGACTCAATGGCAGTGAGTTTGGTTTGTTGCTCCCAGGAAACCACCACTTATTGCCGGCATACCAGATGCTCAAGTGCTGGTCAAAGACTGATAGTCCTTTCAACAAGGCATTTATAAAATGCCCCGTAAAACAACAGTGTTTATTTTTAACATATCCAAAATGTAGTCTTCACTAACTTTACCTTATCCTAATTTCTAAACTTTTCAGGTTGGTAAAAACAAATGAAAAATAATCGTATTCAGGTAAACTTATCTAACATTTCTATTTCTTACAAAAACTGCCATTCTTTTTTGTTTGTTTCACACAACTAAGCATTTAGTTTACAAAATGACACAAGTAGTTGATTCTTCAAAACCTTTACAGTTCCTTAAATCAAAGTACTTTTATGTCATTCTGTACTTCTACCTAAAGATTACTGAACACACAGCAAAACCTCATCCAATTGCCACCCCAAATTTGGAATGTATGCTTTTGTGATTTGAAGTTAACCTTGGTAGTACCAATGAAAAGCATCACTTACTAAGTAAATGAGCCCTGAAAGAAGTGAGCCTGTTAGCTCCCTTGATGCACCCATTCACACTTTACAGTGACAGTGCCACACTGCAGCTCTAATGACACATCATTATTCAAGGTCAGGCTCTGGTTTCTGACACCAAGAATTCACAATCCAGGTGAGACAGGACCAGTATATAAGTAACTATAATACAAAGGAGAATGTGGTAAGAAATAACAATAAACTATGAGGGTCAAAGATGAAAAGAAGAACAATCATGGGAGAAGGGCTGCTTATGCACAGGGAGATAGCTCAGGGTGCAGAAGAGTATGAAGGGATGGACACTGGGAGGAGGTAACTATGGGGAGGAAGTGGGAGGGGAGCTGCTGCATTGTAAATTTTGGTCAATGACATGAGACAAAGTATATGTGAACTGCTGTATGAAAAGTGAATTTACTCTGTAAATCTTCACCCAAATCCTAATAAAAATAAATAAATAAAAAGATGAAAAGAAAGATCAGGCAACACTACTAAGAACTGATTTTGGGAAGGACCTTAATGGGCTTTCACTAAGTAGAGAAAGGCAGAGGGGTGACAAAAGGGTGGAAATGTTACACAACTGAACAGAGAAGACAAAAGGAGGATTTTTTTGGCATATGCAGAGAGGCAAGTATTCACAGCCCAAGCTGCCCTAGAGCAAACAGCCTACTTTACAGTGTGGAGTAATAATGGAGTCCTCATGTGGAATGCCTGGACTTTATTCTGTAAGTCAAGAACTGCCATGATCAGAGCATTAATGTGTTATTAAAAATCACTTTACCTCAAGTACACTTTGGAATAAAGTACAATAATAGTAACTCTCTCCAATTCAGTATTTCCTACACTATATTCCACAATTCACCATTGTCCCACAGGCTATTAATAGATATTCTCGTGGAAAAGGGTTTCTATGATCATGAGAACTTAAAATATACTTCCTTACTGCAGAATCTTTAACCCGTTAACATGCTTCTATGTATACCAAACCAAACCCACTGCCACTGACTCACAGCAACCCCGTAGGACAGAGTAGAACTGCCTATAATGTTTCCAAGGCTGTTGATCCTTACAGATGTAGACTGCCTCATCTTTCTCCCACAGAGTTCGAACTGCCGACTTTTTGGTTAGCAGCCAAGTGCTTTAACCACCATGCCACCAGGGTTCCCGCTTATATGTATGTGAACCTCTAAAAGGCAAGTTTAGTAAGATGACTTAACCACAAAACAAAACAAAACAAAAATGCTGTCATCAAGTCTATTCTGACTCATAGCCACCCTACAGAACACAGTAGAACCACTCCGTAAGATTTCCAAGGCTGTAAATCTTTATGGAAGCAGACCACCTCATCTTTCTCCCAGAGAGCAGCTGGTAGGTTCAAACCACGACTTTTTGGTTAGGAGTTGAGCACTTTCTCCACTGTGCCACCAGGACACTCCTATTTAACCATTGTTATGTGCCGTCGAGTCGGCCCCGACTCATAGCAACCCCTCCTTGGGTTTCCGAGGCAGTATCACTACGGAAGTAGGATTGCCCAACCTTCCTTCCGAGGAGTGGCTGGTGGGTTTGAACCGCCAGCCGTCTGGTTAGCAGGCAAGTGTCTTAGCCACTATGCTACCAGAGCTCCATAAGACCCCTAAATAACAAAGTAAATCAGAACACTTACTCACAGAACAAGAGCGCCACAGAACAAACCTGAGTCATTCTGCCCTAATCTAATCTACTAAGCCAGAATTTCTACTAGACAACTCAGATCTCTGCAAAACAGTATGGTAGCCACCAGCCACATGTAGCAATTTACATGTAAATGCAAATTAAAATGAAACTACATTCCTTTATAATACAGTAGAATACAACTTTTCAACAGTTTAGAGACATTTCCTCAAAGTAAACCTAAATATGTCACACTAGTAATATGTTTTACAGATATGCATGTACAGTTTCTAAAAATGCTAAGAATGAGATGTCTACTACAATGTGAAGAGAAATGAGCATCTCCCTAGATGATGATCAAAGGGCCACAATCACAGAATTAAACCGATTTTATCTACTGGGGTAACCAGCTAACACAATCTATAAAATTCATTGATGGTTGTGCTAATGACAAACCCAAGTTCCTACCAGATTATTAACTTTTCAGAATCAAAGAAAAAACATTATTTTTGTTCTATTTTCTAAGTTCAAAATTGGGACTTGGGTCAAAAAAACAAGAAAGCAGATTCTTTACCCCATTCCCTCCACTCCACTGTCTGCTCTTATCCATGAGGAAAAACATATGTGGAATACCCCATTTTCCACATTTCCCCAGTGGTTTGCATGTTTCTCTTCCTTCTTAGAGCAGCTCAATCAAGGTGTATTTCCTACACCCTGGAACACTCTTCTTTCCGGAGTACTTATTACCTGTGTGAGTGCGAAGATGAGCCTTGAGGTGGGAACTTTTGAAGTATGTTTTCCGGCAGCCTGGGAAGTTGCAAACATAGTTCCTCCTTCGGGAAAAGTCTACCTGAGGGGCACAGTTCTGGCTGGATGCAATGAAAACTGGAGCAGGGGCAAGAGGCAGTAACTTGGTATTCCCAATAGCCATTACACTAGATGAGCTGGTGGGAGGAGTGGGGAGGGGACCTTGGGAGAGGACCAGCATCACAGTTCCCTGAGGCACAGATGATCCCATAAACACAGGCTGGGCGACAGGAGCAGTGTGGGATAAAATGGGTTTGACAGTTCCTGCAGACACTTGAGTAGGAGACTTCAAAAAAGCTGATATCATACCACAGTGTCCAGTCATGGGGATCATTTGGCAAAGCACAGGGGGACTGGAGACAGGGACAGAAATCAGAGGGGTGGTTTTCCTTGGCAAGTTATTTTCATAATTCTTTGGTGAGCAGTTTTGAACTGCAACAGGCCACCTTGCCTGCTGGCCTTTATTGGTGGGGATCAGACCACCAGAGCTGTGCAAGCAAGGCTGACAGGACAGCGAGTTAGTGTTGAGTAAACTATTGGTGAGGTGTGTGTCCTGCAAAGCCTCACAATGTCTCAAAAATTGTGCTTCTCTGCTGTCTGAAAGTCCTTGTTCTTGAATATGGGCCACAGGAATGTGGGCAGGAGCAGGACTCTCCCTTGTGTGGCGGATCACGCTTGTTACCATGGCTCGGCAGGGTGGGCCAGGGGCTGGATCCAGCATCTCTGGCTTTGACCCAGGCAGTCCACTCTCCGTCTTGCCGCTCAGCACTTTGACTGCCGATGCAGGACTGATGGCCGTGACCATGAGTGCTTTGGAATTAGTTACTTGGGAAGGAACAGGTGTCCCTGTTAATGGTTCCATAAGATCCGGGCTCTGTGGAGGAGTCATGCACTTAAAAAAAAAAAAAAAAAAGTACTGTGTGAAAAAGTTGTTCGGCTTATATTTTATTTTATTGGCTTATATTTTAAAAGGTACTTTGTTTAATGATGTTGCCGCCAATACCTTTATAAAGAAGTATCTCAGATACTGGCCCTCAGCCTGCTTACAACAGCATCAGTGGATTTCAAGGTTGTACAAGGCACTTTACTTTCTAGGCTTCTCCCCATTTTGCTGACCCATCTCCCCCTCACCCAAGCACTGAAGTGAACACATCCACCTCTTTGCTTCACTGTAAGAAATCCCAGCGCTCCTCCACACCTAGACTTGTATAGCTACTGAAACAAGCCATGTAAATATTAGTACTTCGAATGAGAAAACAAACTGATACTTTGAAATTAGGGCTTTTCAGATTAATTTTAGATTCTCCAATACTAATGATTATAAAACTAGTGGTAATCATTTCACAAACACTTACCTAGCACCTACTAGGAATGAGAGCCATCCCTAAAAAATCCAAAGGACAAATCCATGATTTTTTTTTTAATCTCCCTGGACCAAACCTCTCTTGGTACTGCCCTCCTAACAATCTCTACTTATTTCCAGCCACCCTACAGAAGAGCACAACACTGTGTAACCATGACAGTGAGATTTCAGCAGTCAGGCCACTACTTTAAAATCCTCTCCACCACCACCCTCTCATCTGTGGTAGTTAAGGTTGTGTGTAAACTTGGCTGGGTCTGAGTGGCTGGGCAGGTGGATGTAGTTGTTCCCCATGGTAAGACTGGTCATCAACTCCATGGTGGAATCTACTGTGAGCAACTAAGTAGCTGCCTTAGGGACATGGTCTGCTTCAAGTATGTAAGGAAAAGCTCTGAGAAAAGTCTTGAACTTCTTGGCACATTTGGATCCTGCATTTGGCTGAGTCATCAATGAGTGGCCTGCCATGTTGTCTGCCAATCTTGGGACTGTTTCTGCACTTGAACTAGTGGCCTGCTGCGTTGCTTGATATTTCTGGGACTGTGCCATTTTACTTGTTGACCTTGGGTTTGTCAGCCTCAGCAGCCAGCAGCTGCCTGAGTGAAGAGATGCCTCCAGTTCCAGTGGGCCAGGAACAAGAGGCAGAGCTGAAGCCCAAGATCTAGGGGCCTTCACCCAGCTCCTAGAGCTGGCACTTTTTGCCCTTGGACTTCTGGCCTCCCAAACTGTAAGAGAATGAATGAATCCCTGTTTGTTCAAGCCACCCATTTGTGGTTAGAGATGCACAAGAGGGCCAAAATGTCATCTCTAAGTGCTTTCCACATTGATTTCCAGTGCAGTCTTCCAACTCAATTAGATTGTAATTTTCACTACTGTTAGCAACAGAAAGCTCAACTTCTCCAAGCTGAAAAACAATTTCCCCAAGTGATTTAATAGCTATAGAGAGTTAAAAACACAAAAATAAAAAACAGTGATTTTCTGTACCCAACTCACAATTAAAATATCAGCTGTCACAGGAAGGTAGAGAGGCCAGCGTTTTAATGCAACTTAGACTATCAGATGCCAAAACACTTGCTTTCTCCAGTTGCCACTCACAAATCCTAGTCATCCAGGGAGAACCTAAGCACCCATTCCAACATTCCTCAGGAAATTAGTGTATTTTATTTTCTCACACCAACCTGTGGATTGCATCATGTGTATGCTTAAACCTGTGGCTAGCAAGTGATGACCCATCAAGGAAAAGTACCATATTTTTAACGGATAAAAGAAGAGCTTTGGTTTCCTAGGCCCCACACAAGGAGCCTTTACAAAGCCCCAACATCCCTGTGAATCTCCCTGAGTTCTTCAACACATTTATTTAAAACACTTTCATTTAAAAATACAAAACTTTTTTCCTCACATTTCTTCTTACCAAAGTTGATAAAGAATGGAAGTCCTTTGGTAGATCAAGTGCAGCTGCGTCCACATGCACAACAGTAGTGACATCTCCAGAGTCAGAGACAGGTGTGAGGGGTCTTATCTTTAATAGTTCACCTTTCTGGGATCTTTGACCCCAGGAGCTCATGCAAACAAGAGCTTCAACAGCTTCGATGTCTGTCTGCTCTAAGATGCTGCAGGTAGACTGCTCGCTATCATGCCGCTTCCTCTCTAGGATGGATTCACATATGTCCATGATGTCAACCTAAAGACAATACAACACAACAGAGCTCTCAGTCCAGATGAAAAATGAGTATTTCAGTCTAGGCAAAAAAACCAAAATGCACACCAGGAGATTGTGCTATCCATGTACACACAACACTCTATATGTAACAAGCTCTGCTTTCTAATAAAGGTGTTGGAAGAACATGCGTTACAGTTTGCCTTTAAACCAATGTTCTGAAGAGGGAAGGAAGATGACTGGATTTGGCTTACAGAGTTTCCTAGAAAACAGATTCCCAAAAAAGGTTACAAAGTTCCATGTTTTTCTTTGGTAGATGAATAAGATTTTAATTCCAGATGTGTAAGTCAAAGTAGCTAGTGTGAAAACTGTCTCACAGAGAGGATGATGATCTAATTCTGAAGGGAGAGATAACTTAACCTTTAGCACTTTTCTTCTAGACAAATGAGATCTGAGCATGGCTCTTCTGACTTGGCAAAGGCACCAGAATGGTATCCCTACAGTTACATTTTTTGGAAACTCTCTACCGGCATTCATCTTAATTTTGTTAAGTGGGAGCATCAACACAACACTATCTCAGGTCACTGAATCCAATGTGTTCCATGAAGGCAGAATTCATTACTCAATCTTCTTAAGTCACTTGCTAATGCCACAAGGACAGTATGTAGAAGGAGAAGAAATTTAAGATCTACCCAAGAAAGGTTCTTTTTCCAAGTGTTATCAAACCACCTACGCAGGAGAGGACAGGTGGGAATAGGCTGGAATTAATTAATCTCTTACAAAAGTAACTTTAAATTGATCAAGATGCTAATTTTCACTAAAGTATGTCGTATCACAACTATCTTTCCTGCCCAGGATACCCTCACAGACCAAATAGGTTACGAAGTTGCCTTTGCAAATGCCATTCTGCCTAGTCCACGAAGAGTGTAGTCACAGAACCTGCGAGCCTGCTCCGTCCACCACAAAGCCGGAAGTGAGTGACTCACCAAAGTCGCCTCGTCAAGGACCCAACCTGAGCTATCTGCTCCCGGCGCAGGGCTCTGCGGGCCCGACTTTCGACCATTAGGCCGCGTGCCAAGCCAACTGTGTCTCAAGGCAATCCAACAGACTGCCCCATGGCCTCGAGGCCTCGCAATGAAGAAGAGGCCTCATAGTCCGAAAAGGACCACTGAACCCAAGCAGCAGGAAGGACGCACGCGGCCGAACGCCCGGGCTCTGCAGCGAGCGCCTCAGCCCGGACCCACAAGCTTGGGACATTCCTCCAGCCGCGCCCCAGCCCCAAGAGCCGCCCCCGCCTTATACAGGGTCGGATGACGTCACGGCTGGAAATAACCCACCCCCGCCCCGCCCCGCCCGAAGGCCGGGCGGGGGCGGGTGGCCTCCAGGCAGCCGCAGACAAAGCTGAGCATCCGGGCAGCACACACCCCTCTCCCCCCCTGCCCCGCCCCGCCGCGACCCTGCGCGGATGGCCTCCCTACCCCCATCACTGCCCCTCCATCTGCAGGCGGACACTGCGCTCCCGAGCCCGCTTGAGGCCCTAACGGTGCGGACGCGGCGAAAGGCCCGAGCATCCTCTGCGGGCGCCGCCCGGCCACTGCCCGCACGCGGCACTCCTCCCGCTTGCTCCCCTCCTGCACTCCCTGGTAACCGGCACCCACAAAGGCTGCCGCACCCCCTGTCTCGCGCCTCAGATGATGCTCCCTCTCCAACGCCAGCTGTGGTGACTCACCGCGCCCGCGTTGCCCAGGCCCGCGTAATCCGGCGTGTGCATGTTGCCGGCAGTCAAGCTGTAACAAAGCGGCCACGCAGCGTGTGCTTGGCGCACAGTGGCGGCTGCACATGTGTGGCCGGGTGGCGGCGACCCGGACGCCACAACCGGGTTGACGCGAGCTTCTGGCTTCCGCGGCCAGCGCGCTCGCCTCAGCCCGCGCCGGTCTGTCCCGGCGCAGCCCTCAAGGCACGGGTAGGGGCGGGGCGGGGAGCGGAGGGGGCAAAAGAGGCCGGCCGGGGAAGGGAGCGGGCGGGAGAGGGGCGGGGCGCTGAGTCAAACCAAAATACACCGCGCCCCGCCTGGAAGGAAGCGGAGCGGCGGCCAGCCAATCCACGCACTGCCCGTGCGCGGCCGGCCAATGACGGCCGTGGGGAGCCGCGTGATCAGAGCCTGGCTGCGGCGTGATCAGGCTGGGCGGGATGCGGCACGTGTTTTGGTTCGGCTAGGGGGCGGGGCTTGAGGCCCTGGAAAGTAGAGGAAAGGTCCCGGCGGCAGCCGCGGCGGCGGCTGTGGCGGGAGCGCTGAGCAGAGGGGGAGGTACCGCTAGATCTGGGGGAAGTCCCCGGCGCAGCGCCGGACTGGGCTTGGGTGTGGAGAAGGAGAGGTGGGGCCGCGCTTAAAGGGTCAGCCGCAGCCTGTCCAAACGCCTGTCTGCAGACCGTGGTGATCCACCTGCATGCTTAACTGGGCTTTTTGTTTTTAATTTCCATTAAACTACCTACAGTTCTTAGGAATGCATGTCTGACCAGGAAAAAGGTTTGAAAGCTAGTTGGCTATAGGTGGCATGCCTGCATTGGCTCATTTCCTGTATTAGTATCTGGAAGACTGATAAATGAAATGAGACAGAGCTTCTAGGTCTGCTTCTCCGACTGACGCCCCTCCGGTGGCGTCTCTGAGCAGGGAGGGCATAGGAGCTCTCGTGGTGTAGTGCCTAAGGCACTTAACTGCTAACCAGACGGCTGGCGGTTCAAACCCACCAGCTCATCCTCGGAAGAAAGATGGGGCAATCTACTTAGGTAGTGATACCAACTTGGAAACCCAAGGAGGGGTCGTTTTGAGTTGGATCCGAATCCACAGCAGTGAGAAATCAGATAATCACCTGAAATGTATCCGGTGAAACCCACCCGTTCTTCCCAGGCTCCTGAAAGTGCCATCCCCTCCAGAAAGTCTTCAGTGAGACCTGGATTAACGAGACCTGCCGGTTTCCCACCAAAATAGCACCAAACCCGCTGCCATGGAGTACATTCCGATTATAGCAAACCTCCATTGGGTTTCCAAGACTGTAAATCTTTAGGGAAGTAGATTGCCTCATCTTCCTCCCACAGAGCACTTGGTGGGTTTGAAACCCCAACCTTCTGCTTAGCATCCAATACCTTCTTTACCCATAACACCACTAGAGCTCCTTCCAGGTTCCCACAGTACCACCCCCAACCCCCCATACTTCAGCTAAGGAGCTCTGGTGGTGCAGTTCCTACAGCACATGACTCCTAACTTGGTGGTTCAAACTCATCAGCCACTCAGCAGAAGGAAGACTGGGCAATCTACTTCTGTAAAGATTTACTGCCTTGGAAACCCACAGGGGGTCACTATGAGTGGGCATCAACTCGATGGCAGTGAGTTTGGTTTTTTGGAGTTATACCTCAGCTGACAGTGTCTGTGTATGTGGTTTTCTTACCTATACTGCTCCAAGTTCTTGAAGAGCAGGAACCAGACTGTGTTTATTTGTACCTCCACAACCTCCAGCACAGAATGTGGTATTCTTTCATTCATCCACTCACCCCACATTTACTGAGTTCTGATATGTACTGATAGTCCCTGGGTTGCACAAAACAGTTAAGTGCCCAACTATTAGCTGCTGAACATTAACAAAATTGGCGGTTGGAATCTGCCCAGAGGTGTAGCTTCAGAAAGGTTACAGCTTTGAAGATCCTCTGGAGTTCAGTTCTACTCTGCACATATAGGAGTTGACTTCATTAGAGACTAACAGCAGTGATAAGGATTGTTAAAGCACCAGGTGAGTAAGATTCAATGAAGAATCCTCAAACCCACCAGCCACTCCTTGGAAGGAAAGTTGGGCAATCCACTTCCATAGTGATACTGCCTCAGAAACCCAAGGAGGGGTTGCTATGAGTTGAATTGACTTGATGGCAGTGAGTTTGGTTTTAGTAGATGATCCATGACTGAAGGGACAGTGCTCTGACTGAAAGAAGCCCTGTGTTAGCCAAACTCACGTGAGCAAGCAGAGCTGTCCCTCGGTTTCCATAGCTTTTTCTACCACTTGCTATAGACAGCCCTAGTCTGATTGGACAGAGGGATTAAGTGAACCAAGAAGAAGGTATTTGCTGAAAGTAACAAGAATGTTTGAAGAGGAATTAACTATGATTAACTGCTTTCATGATGGAGCTCTGGTGGTGTGGTGAAAGCATTACACTGCTAACCAAAACGTTGGTGATTCAAAACCACCAGCTGCTCTGGAGGAGAAAGAGGAAAGATTTACAGCCTTGGAAACTCTATGGCTACTGTGCCCTGAAACGAGTCTCTGTAAGTCAGAATCGACTTGATAACAGTGGGTTTTTTGTTTTTGTTTTTTAACTGCTTTCATGGAGATCTCTGAAAAAGGCAGATAATGTTCTGGTCATGAAAAGGTGTTAAGTTTTAGATACGAATTTGAATATCTTGTGTCTTCTGCACTAGCTGTTGTCTGTCTCCTCACCAGAAGGAAAGTTTCACAGGTCTCCCTGATTCCTTTCTTGCTACCCAAAATCTATTCCCCACCCAGCATCTGGAGTGTTCTTTAAACCTTTTCACTACATTTAATTTTCCTGTTTTTGTAGTTATTTATTGTCTTCCTCCCCCCTAGAAAGAAAGTTCCCAAGCTTAAGGACCTTGCCTTTCTAATTCACTGTGAATCTAGGGGCTGGCTCACTGCAGGCACACAATAACCATTTGTTGAGTGAGTGAATGAATACAAGTACCTATTAACCATCCCCACATGGACATCCCTCAGGCACCTTTAATTCAGTGTACTCAAATATGAGCTGAACTCATATTCTCAAATATGAGCTTCTATCTCCATGAAGGGCATCACTGTGTAACCTGTGCCTTGATCGAGAAATCTGAGAGTCAACTTTGACACTGCCCTTTCTTGCACTTGCTTCTGACAACCATGCCCTACTCTTTTCATCAAACCATTAACTTCCCTCCATTACTCACTCTTTGCCCTGGTCCAGGCCACTATCCTCTCTAATCTGAATTACTGCAACTGCCTCTCAAGCACCCACAATCTACTCTTCATGTCATTGCCAGGATGATGTTCTGGAGGCAGAGATGTTTCCAAACCCTTACTCAAATCCTCAGTTGGAATCCAAAGAGCTATAGGACTAAATCAGCATTCCTTAGTCAGGCCCCAACCAATTCTTCTTGCATCATTTCTGGCCGTTGCCCTGAATTTCTTTTCATTCTATCTTTCTAGTCCTGCTGCCCCAGTGCTGAAGTTCTTTCCAGCCCTGAATGTTGTTTCAAGTCATTCTTTCCTCCTTTGCAGATGATATTCCTTTTGCACAGAACACCCAACTCTTCCTCAATTTTATTCTGTAAATTGGCCTTTCTTGATCCCACACCTCCTATGCACAACAGGCTGTGGTTGCTGCCAAACTCTGGAATCTTGTTGGTCCTGTCTTTAGTCAGAGAGATATTGAAGTGTCTATAAACTGAAAACCAAAATAAACCAGGTGGCATAAGTGAATTCTAATTCATGACAATCCTACGTATTTCAGAGTAGAACTGTACTCCATAGAGTTTTCAATGGCTATGATTTTTCAGAAGTAGAATGCCAGGCCCTTCTTCTGAGGTACCTCTGTGTGGATTTGAACCACTAGCCTTTCTGTCAGTAGCCAAGCTACTAACAGAAATTTAAGGAACCATTTATAAACTAAAGATACTCCCAAATCATTCACTTGGAAACATCACTGTGAACCTCTCCTGCACCAGGATCTACAGACCCTTACATGGTAGAGATAATCTGACAGGCAGACTGGGTGTGGACACAGATAACTCCTGTATAAAGCAGAACTTGATCCTCCACGCCAAACTGTGATCACTTTCTTATACATCCTTTTACAGACAGTCTATATATATACAGAATTTCACACAAATGGTAGTGTTCTATATATATTTTTCTGAACCTTGATTATGATTTCACAATCTGTCTTGGAGATTATTACATATCAGTACATAAAGATCAACCTCATTCTTTGTAGTGGTTAAATAATATTAAATAATATTCTGTTACAGACAGATGGTGTCACCATTTACATTGTTTCTGGTTTTCCAGGAACATCCACGTGCACGTAATCATTTGCCCAGATGCAAGGATAGTAGGATCAGTTCTTAAAATTGGGAATCCCTAGGTCAAGTTACCTGTACAGTTTATTGTTCAATTTTTGGTAAATTTTATTGATGTATAGCATAGATTCAGGAAGGTGCAAAAAGCTTAAGTGTACAGCTCAATGCATTTTAACAGGGTGTTTTGGTTCTCTACTGGTGCTTTAACAGAAAATAACCACAAATGGATGATTGTAACAGACAGGGATTTATTCTCTTCCAGCTTAGAAGGTTAGAAATCCAAGTTCAAAGTGCCAGCTCTAGGGGCTGGGAGAAAGCCCTTTGACCTTGGGTTTCAGCTCTGCCTCTTGCTCCAACCCACTAGAGCTAGAGGCATCTCTTTACTAAGGCAGCTGCTGGCTGCAGATGCTGACAAACCCAAGGTCTACAAGTAAAATGGCACAGTCCAAAGATTATGAAGCAACATGGCAAGCCACTAGTTCAAGTTCAGAAACAGTCTCAAGACTGGCAGACAATGTGGCAGGCTACTGATGACTCGGCTAAATGCAGGATCCAGATGTACCAAGAAGCACAAGTGACCTTTCTCAAAGCATCTTCTTGTATATTGGAAGCAGACCACATTCCTAAGGCAGCTACTCAGCTGTTCATGGCAGATT